TATTTGAGACAGAGAGAATGAGATAGAGAGAGCATGAGAGGGAGGAGGGTCAGAGGGAGAAGCAGACTCCCTGCCAAGCAGGGAGCCCGAAGCGGGACTCGATCCCGGGACTCCAGGATCATGACCTGAGCCGAAGGCAGTCGCTTAACCGACTGAGCCACCCAGGCGCCCCCCAGCTGAAGATTTTATCCATTCTTCAAAGTACATCTCAAATAACACGCCCCTTCAAAGTCTTTGCTCCATAAACGAGAGCACTCTCTCTCTCTTCTTGATCCTCTGATAACACATGCCTGTTCTGTGAGTAGGACCCCTTCTTACACTGCCTGATCCTGTCTGTCCGCACACGAAGGGTGCTGTATTACTTATTTCTGCAAATCTTATAACATCCGCCAGTGTGTCCTGTACACACTAAACATGCAATAGATTCATATAGGATTGATCTCATGGAGAAAATCATAGGAGCGGCGTAGGAAGGACAATCTCAGATTGCGAGCATTTGCAAAAAGAAGTATAGGCTGAGATGACCCTTTCCAGAATGCCAAACACCTTGGTACACTAATGTTTCCAATGTGGTACATGGCTGATCATTATCTTAGCTGCTTTCTCAAGAAACTTTTTGGCAGCCGATTCAGTGCAGTTCTATGTAAGCCTTACTAGCTTTACTTGGCAAGATGTAAGCCAGACATGTTAGGGGCTGGGGATACAGTGGAGCATAAGACAAAGATAGTCCCTGTCCTCATTAAATTTTTAGTTTTCTTTGGGAGTCTTTTTTTTTTTTCCTCATGGGAACATTATCTGTGACTTTAGAAAGTATAAATATTTATAAGTATTATGGCTTATATATAATATTTCAAAGATTTACATTATGGATGCCTTTGCTGCATTTAAAATACTCCATAATATGAAGGATAATTTCTCCTGTTCCTTTCCTAGACGTAATGTGAATCTAAGCAGATCATGCATATTTGTGATGATGTCTAACTTGATAGCAACCCTAATTTCACTTATAGAATGCCTAATTACTTTCACAATGCTAATTAACAAAGATGCTTACATGGTACATACAGGAGTCCCTTCTATATTGGGAACTTGCCTTTTTACCTTATAGCGATTCCAGTTATGCAAGCAGAAGCTGGTGGATAGGTACAAAGGGAGTATGTATGTGCATTTCTAAAATTAAACAGTTTTCAATGGAAAGAATATACAATTCAAAAACCTATGTATTTCTCGGAAAATTACAAGAGAACAAAACACACACCCGTACCTGCATCCTGTTCAATACTGGGTGCATCATATCTAATAAAGATACCTTATTAGAATGCAATCAATGTAGGACGTATCCCACGGTCACTTTCCATTTTAGACTCCTTACCCTCCCCATCCCAGATTTTCAACAAATATAGGTGTGAGGGGCTTCAGTGCCTTGGAGTCAGGGACACCAGAAGTCCCTGCAATGTACTGAAGGGTTAGCGTTTCTCTCTTGGATCGTTCTTCCAATTCCCTTGGGAGAGCTAGGGTTCCATAGGCTACTGTGACCCTGATGGGCCCTCCACGGCTGGCTCTGCTGGTCCCCCCAGGTCCCCTGTGCGCCCCGCGCCCCTGCCGCCAGATGCAGCTGGGGGCCCCCAGGCGTTGGCGGCAGGAAACGGTGGTGGGGTCCTGGGGGCCACCGAGGGCCTCTAACTACAGCCGAGCCCCTGCAGGACAAGTGCCACTGCCCTCCAAGAGAAGCACGAGAACGAGGGGCGCTGGCTGCTCGGAGTGCTCCACGTGGGGCTAACTCCGCACCGGACCAGAGCATCACAGGAGCAGAGCAGTGATTAGCAGAAAGGAAGTCTTGGGGCTGCTTCCTTCCAGAACCTGTTTATGGGTAGAGCCTTCTCCCATGCAGGAGCACCTGCCTGGGCGGGACCAGAAGGGGCAGATGAGCCATTTCGAAGCCCGCCCTCTCCATCTCATCTCCTGGAATATCCTGAAATGGCTTGCCACATCTGTTTTTAGCCTACTAAAAACCTTTCTAAATTGGGTTCCTTTTACTGTTTTTTTTTAACTGCTTGGGCTGGTGTCAAGTTGTTATTTTGCTAAAAAAAAAAAAAAGTAAGAGGAGCATATGCTTTTCTAGAGGCAGACTTTCCGTGCCTGGGGAATCTGGGGCCTGAATCACCTCCCGGCCTCTAGGGTCTGCATACAGAGATGTTAAGACCAGTGGTTTGGGGGCACCTGTTGGAGCCTGGGAACTGCAGAACCAGATGCTTCTTTCCTCTGATCGTCGGCCAGGCTTGGCTGCCTTTTGCAGCCTGGCACTACCCGCACAGCTTTAGAACAGGCTGTGCCTCCCATGCATCCCAATTACCTAAGGCAACAGTTTCCATCCCAGAAAGCGAGGCTCTGATCAGGCCCGTCTAATTACCTGGGTGCCCTGGCGGCGGCGGCACTGGGCTATGGATCAGGCTGCAGCCCCTGGGTGCCTCTGCCAGAGCATCACCGGGGAGAGCTGCGGGGGTGCATGAGGAAACCCCTGCCTCCAAGTGGGTATGTGGGGGTGTCTTTGTTGGCTTTAAAATTCACAAACACGAAACAGTACAGAAAACAGTAATTCCAGGATTTATGGCTGCCTAAAAAAAAAAAAAAAATTATTCGAGGTTGGTCATTTTTAACCAGCCAGCTGATCCCAAGTACAACGAAGGCAGAAGACCCCTGGGGCTTTATGCACCTGAGTCTGGCAGCACATTACCATTACCATCAGGGCATCATGACATCTCTTGAGCAGGTTCTCAAACTTCAGCAGGCATTCGAATCCCCTGGAGGGCTTGTTAAAACAAGCAGGGCTGCACCCCAGTTTCTGATTCACTGTGGGGTCCCGGAATTTGCATTTCAGACAGGCTCCCAGGTGATGCTGCTGGCCTGTGTGCGGACCACACACTGAGTTGCAAGGATTCAGACAACAAAAGCTGACTGCAGAGTCCAGCCCTCTCCTGAAGGTGGACTGAGCCTGGGGAAGGCTCTCAAGTTTGCTCAACCTCTGGCTCTTCGTCTGGAGGGAGGGGCTGATTTTAGTCCCTATGTCAGAGGTTCTAAGGTGAGGTGAGGGACTGCCAAATTTGTCTGCACATTGGAGTCCCTCAAGAGGGTGGTTATTAAATTCCAAAGCCCAGGCCAAGCTCTGTGCCCATCAGATCATGACTTCTGGGGCAAGTAGCTCTTTGTGGCTCCCCTGTGACTCCGGAAGTGCAGAGAAGTTTGGGAACCACCGCAGTTAAGTGGTATCACGCAACGAAAACATCTGCTCCAGTGACGTTTCATTCAAAAAAATATGGACATTCCTCTTTTCTTCTTCTTACTATATTTTGTGATCTGGACTACAGGTGACCACAGGAGTTCCAGGGCAAGAAGTCCACGAAGGGCCTGGAGAGGTGAAGCGGGGGTTCTCCGGAGAAGGAAGAAGGAAAAGCTTTGACATGCGTGTATGGTTTCTGAAGGGAAAAGCAAATAGAAACTCCAGTGCCCCCTTTACTCTTCTTTCCTGCAAACCATCTTCTGGGGACCGGGAGGACTTGGGAGCAGTCCATTCTTCCACTAGGGGGGTCTGATGAACTCTCAACAGAATTTAGGAAATGGTGTCTATGATTTGCAGGGAGGAGATTCCTCTCTAATAGAGCTGGGAGGAATCCCAGAGACAGCCAGTTTCCAAACACTCATTTTCAAGGGGGCAAGGGAGAGGCTGCAGACCCAAGCGCTGATCCCCAGTCCAAGGTTCTCTGCGGGAAGGGAACTCAAGGCAGATTATACTTTCTTCAGTCTTGCTGGGTCTGGCTTCGAGAACCGATACCAGGTGGGAAGCTTTGCAATGATTTTAGCTACCTTGCCTTTTTAGGAGCGAGAGAGGGTGTAACGGGTGCTGAGGGCGAGCGGGAAGAACAGAAGCACACTCTGAAACCATTGCTCATTTTTATCCAGGATCACATATTGCTGCGTTTCTCCTGGTGTCTTCTGTTATTACCAACTTTAGCAGCTAGCAGGAAGGAGCCTGGGGCAGACCGTGAAGGTCTATTTATGTGTACTGTGCATGGGTCCTAGGACTCATTTTGCTAAGAAACTCATAATTAAGAAGGCTTAAGGAATTGAATGTTAGCTCTTAAACTGGGGGCACCATAGTGTGATCTAATAAACACAACTGTAAAGAGGTAGAAAGGAGGAAAAAGAAAAAGTCACTGTTAAGAGTTTTGATTTGTCAAGAAGTTTTCAACAGACTTCCTTTTTTTTTTTTTAAACAAGAGCCATCCAAAGAAAGAGTGACCACAGTTCTATTAATAGCTATGTGCGGGGCCAACTGAGTACAGCTTTGATAGAGATCTGGGATAGCAAGAGCTAGAACACTGCTAGAAGCACAGTTACCAAAAAGATCCCCCAGCCAAGAGAAGTTGCCGGCCAAGTTTCCAAGGGAACAGATTTATTATAACCAAAAAAAAAATTTTTTTACAGTGCTCTCACAGCAATAAAAACATTCATTCATTTAAGTATCCTGAAAATACAGATTACTTAGGTCTCAGTGTGATAAAGTCATATGGACAAGCATCTGCTTTTTTTCTTGCTAGCTTGTGGTGTTGCAGCCAGCGACTTACACTCCCTGAGCCTCAGTTTACTCCTAAATAATATGGGATGATAGCACTGATTTCATAGGGAGGTTGGGAAGATTAGCTGACATAAAGTACCTGGCTTATAAGAGGTTTCCTAGTTCTTAGTTCCAGACCTGCTTCCTTTGGCCCTAGGGCCTCCCTTGCACAACATCCTTGAAGACCATTTTGAAACTGGCACTATATCCCGAACTTCTTGAGGTCTGGATAGTCTGAATTTGCGAAAAGCATTTCATAGCCGGAGTAAATCCCCCTTTCACATCTTCAAGCTTCTGTTGAACACCCACCCCCCTTCCCCCCCAAAGCTCCTGGGTTTCTAGCTGGTTTTCCAACTGCACCCATTAATTAATATTACATACAATACTTGTAATAATGCACAAGTGTGACACCCATATCCATAACATTTTTTTTCATCAACCGCAAAGAAATGGATGGACTAATATGGCCCTTGTGCAATTATAAGGGTCATCTTACAGACCATCTGGGGAAATCTGTCCTGTTACTTTTCTCTCTAGTTCATGGGGATGGAAAGAGTCCTACCCAACTAGATCAGAAAGCATCAGCTCTTCCAAGGAACACATCTATCCAGATGGCTTGTTCCCACCTTATTCAGTAGATTTGGCTTTGACTTTTAGCCATTCCCCAAAGGTAAGTCCTCCTTCCACAGGAGGGAGATTCTCCATCACTGAGAACAATAGGAAGTGTGTGTCACGTACTCTAAAGATCATTCTGAAAGATGAGTTTCAGAAATCTTTTAAGCAATGATAACATTATATATGTATCTATATCTATGTCTACATCTATATTTATATTTATATATCTCCTGAGGGGACATTTCTTAGAGTGAAATCTGATAGCTCTCCGAGAAAAAGGATCCATATTTTCTCTCACTGGGGTAACAATTTAGATTTACACAGGAGTTTTCAGGTTTATAGTTTTAAATCTGTTGACTTTGTGCAAGTCATGAGACTGTTCTGACTAGACCATACGGAGGTTACAATCGTTCTAAGTTCTAGAATGATCTGGGATTGCATGCCACCTCACACTAATTTTGTGGGGTCACAGTATTATCTCTATTTTATAAACACATAATCCAAAGCTGGGAGACTCTAAGAGGCAGACTAGGAAACTGAAGGGGTCCACATTGTGCCTTCAGTGTGGCCAAGCCTGTGTCTGGGTCAGGGCAGTGGTATCGAGGCCACCTGCCAGTTATGCAGACAGCCCTGGAAGCCCATCATGAGCACAACCCAGTCAGCCATTGCTGGAGTACAGAGAGGGATGAGCTATGGTCCTAATGCTTGTGAAGAAACAGGCATGTAAATAACAAATCTAACTGAGAGCAGAATGAGAGGCAAGGTTCGTAGTCATGAGCACATTACCCAGAGCCACACTGTTTGGGTTCAAAGCTTGGACTCATTTCTCAGCTGTGTGACCTTGGGCGTGTTACCTATGCTCTCTGTGGTTCCATTTGCCCATCTGCACAATGAGGATAATAATAACGTTTTGTGAAGATTAACTAGATTCTTGTTCCTAAAGCTCTTAGATAGAACATGCTTGGCACAAGTAAATGTTTGCTAAAATTAACAAAATGAAAACGGCTATTGGAAATCATAGGAAGGAATATTACTTCTAAAGG